ACTCAGGTAAACATTCACTACAAAATAAGTCTACAAATATGCGTAAGATCAACAAACAAACTTTCTTTAATGTGTTACCTCTTAAAAAGTACTTTAGTTAGATCTTCGGCTGACGAATGTCTGCGTTAGATACCTTTTTCTAACGTCAAAACGGAAATGGAGAACCTTAACCAGTTTTTTAATTTTCCTGAAAATCAGTGATAACATTTCTGCTGAAAACGAAAGGCTTAAACATTTCCTTTATTTTCGATCGTTTTTCACTTTATTTGATAATTTTGGGTCCAGTTTTAAATTTGCAAACGCATGAACGCCAAGTATGTCTAAGATTTTCCAAAAATGGATAATATTCTGTCGATTTCGTTTCTAAATTACGCATTGGCGGACACTGTCAAATATCGAAATTTTCTTTTCATATGCTTAAAATTTAACAAGCGTGTTTTTGTGTCTATCACCATGGTAATATATGTGTATTCTTTGCAAAGAATAGTTTCTCAATCTGAATTCGTTCCTTGTTTCTGGAAAGCAATGCGATTCCTCACACTTGCTCCCACCCGATTTTCACTAACTTTATCAGGTCAGATTCTCCAGTTTAGGAAGGGATTTATTTGAAATGTTTTCTGCGTATATTGGTGCTCTTTTATAGAATAACGCCATTAAACAAATAGGTTTTTCATCGAGAGTTTCTTATGTATCCGGCAACCTCCGATTTCGCCCAAATCCTGTCCGATTTCTTTCTATTAACAAGATGGGAAGTTCAGTATTCTTTATTCAAAGGCTTTCTGAGTCTTATATCAATGGAAAATGTCAAAATCAAAAGACCAAGCTTACTTTAAACTACCTACTCGAATTTTGATCACGATTCGGCATGAGTTAGACCACTTACTGTATTACAATGTTTAATAGATCACACATTTACTCAGTCGCGCAGATCTTTACGCGTTACCTCATGTTCACCACATATCGATGTACTGACATGATTTTGCGCTTCAAAAGTCCGCGGTTGCAAGTAACGCCCTTTTTGGTTATAACACCCTGCTGCAGTGCTGGTTTGAGAACTCAGGCAAAAGAGGGAGTGCTTCCGTTGCTCAGCTAGTTTTGTCGTTGTTTAATTCCGCAAGTACCTGGTGCTCGGCTGTTCGAGAGAAGTAGGGCTGATGTTACCTCCTTTTCTCTCCCCTTTCCCTTTTTTTTCTAGTCTTACGAGGATCTCGTTGCCCGTCTGGAACCCGTTATCATGGAACTCGAACGCCAAAGCTCCATCATGGTGATCTGTCATCAAGCTGTTGCCCGTTGTCTTCTTGCCTACTTTCTCGAGTTGGATAAAGGTATATTGATCTTCTTTTTTCCTGTACTTCGATATTTTTATTACTACTAGTATTACCGAAATAAGCGAATATGTGTGTTCCAGGAAACAGATTAAGTATCCTTGAT